CCCCAAAACACCCCAAAACACCCCAAAAACACCCCAAAAACACCCTAAAAACACCCAAAACACCCCAGAAACATCCCAGAAACACCCCAGAAACACCCTAAAAACACCCAAAACACCCCAAAATACCCCAAAACACCCCAAAACACCCAAAAACACCCCAAACACCCCCAAAACACCCCAAAAACACCCAAAGACATCCCAGGAACACCCTAAAAACACCCAAAATACCCTAAAAATAACCAAAGACCATCCCAAAATGCCCCAAAAACACCCAAAAACACACTAAAAACACCCAAAATACCCAAAAATACCCTGAAACACCCCAAAAACTCCCCAGAAACACCCAAAATACCCCAAAACCACCCTAAAACACCCAAAATACCCCCAAAACACAGAAAAACATCCCAAAACCACCCTAAAAACACCCCAAAATACCCCCAAAACTCCAAAATACCCCGAAACCACCCTAAATATACCCCACAACACCCCAAAACCCCCCAAAATAGCCCAAAACCACCCCAGAACACCCCAAAAATACCCTCGAAACACCCCCAAAACCCCCCAAAGTCTCCCCAATACCCTCTGAAACCCCCAAATTTCACCCCCAGACCCCAAATTCCCGTTTTTAACCCCAAATCCCCCATTTTTTAAAACCCCAAATTCCCCCCTTTAACCCCAAATTCCCGTTTTTAACCCAAATCCCCGTTTTTAACCCCAAATTCCCGTTTTTAACCCCAAATCCCCGTTTTTAACCCCAAATTCCCCCCTTTAACCCCAAATTCCCGTTTTTAACCCAAATCCCCGTTTTTAACCCAAATTCCCCTTTTTAACCCGAATTCCCATTTTTAACCCTAAATTCCCCGTTTTTACCACCAAATCCCCGTTTTTAACCCAAATCCCCGTTTTTTACCCCAAACCCCCAGGCCGGGGCGTGTCCCCAGCTGCGCGTGCTGGAGCTGGATCAGATTTCGGGGGGTCCCGGCCCCCCCCTCCCGCTGCCCCTGGAGCGGCTGCAGGCGGCCTGTCCCC